AAAAAAAAAAAAAAAAAAAGAGCATATAACTCAATGTGGGATCACCAAAATTCCAAACTTGCATACATTGTACTTGCATATATATTTGATTCTTACCAGAACAGTGGAAATGCTGCACAAAACTAACTCAGCTGTTTTATTTCACTTCTTAATTTGCACAGAGTCCCTGGGTGGCACAAATGGTTAAGCACTCAGCTATTAAACAAAAGATTGATAGTTTGAGTCCACCTACAGGCTCCTCAGGAGAAAGTTCTTTGTGATCTATATCCAACAGGTCACAGCCATTGAAAACCCTATGAACCACAGTACTACTCGGAACCACATTACATCACCTTGAGTCTGAATTGACTCTACAGCATTTGGTTTAATATGCATACATTCAACCAACACTCTATCTTTGGCTTACAGATGAGTAAGGAAGGACTGAAAGGAATAGGAACTATGGGCTGCCCTATCTTTTCCTTTCCTTCTATGTAGTCATTTATCTTTCTTACTTGGGTCATGTTATCAGGAGGGACCAGTCCCTGGAGAAGGATATCATACTTGGTAAAGTAGAGGGTCAGTAAAAAAGAAGAAGACCCTCAACAAGATAGATGGACACAGTGACTTTTACAATAAGCTCAAACGTAGCAGTGATTGTAAGACGGCACTGGGCTGGGCCATGTTTTGTTGTGTTGTACACAGGGTCACTATGAGTCAGAACCAACTTGATGGCACCTAAGAACAACAACAATGCATATTTTAATTATGCCAGTGCATTTTCATTTCCTTGCATTATTTTCTTATCTCAGCTTTCTTGAATTTCTGCCTTTATGTTTGGTTGACCTCTTTATGCCTCACTGTTCGTATTTCATAAGCTTTGTTGTCCTCTTTGCTTTTTGTGTACACCAAGTATAGATCTTATAAAATTTATTTTTGCTCTATATGAAAAATTATATTCAGAAGCAAACTCTTTACCTTAATTTTTGGAGCAATACTATCTCTCTCTTCATCATAACATCTTTTAATGGGCTTTGTTGTTGTTGTTGTTCTTGTTGACTTATTCTTGAATGGAGCAGAATATATCTTGCTCTTGCATATATCAATAGGAAGGATGGGTAGAGAGTATCGTTAAGAAACCGCCACATACGGCAAGGACATACAAGAGGCTGACAACAGGAAAGGAGACAAGTGGTGAGTGTATAAGTGCTGTCAACTAGTGAATAGAGGAGTACAGCACAGTACCCTGCCTGTATAGATAACATACAAACAAAACAAAGAAAACGAAAATTGTGGGCAAGTCACTCTAACATATAATCACCAATTAAATAGATAGACAAAAATGTCACAATGCCTCAGAGACAACAGAGCATCACAGCCCAC